TGCAATGAGTTCAATGAAATACCTCGGCTCCAGACGTCCCGCCCCCTCCACAGACGCTCAGCTGTTCCTCTCCCAAATTGTAGCTGACCGCTAACAGTGCCGCAGACAGGAGGCCGGCTTGTTTTATTTTTATGACCGAAATTGCGGAAAACAACTTGTGAAGTTTGACCTGCTAGAAGAGCGAGGTGTGCAAGAACGCTGGGACCCTTTTTCCACCAGGATCTCTGCTCTTTCTGGCCCTCATGTCCCTCCGTTGTCGGACTAAAGTCCCCACTTCCTCACCGCCTCGGCCGTATCTAGACCCACAGTGTGTAGCACAGACCACGCTTAAATACTGAGCATAATTTAAAAATGTCTGTGTCAAGCTTACTGCAACACACTGCTGTAAGAGTATAACCAGGAAGCGAGGTAGAAAGGCAAAATAGGTTTAGCGCCACCGCAGCACGGGAGGGAGAATTACGCCCAGGAGCAAATGGATAAAAATAGACCGGAGGGGGAAAAAAAAACATGAATCGATTCTCTTGCGGACGTGTCGATGCATCGGATCGTCGGCTGTTGGAACGATGCATCGATACAAAACGATTATTATTTACACCCCTAGTAGGTACCATGGTAGACCTGCAGGTATAATTTCAGCTAGTTATTGTTCTAAAAACTCTTGTCTTCTAAAGTTGGTGTAAACAAATCCACGTCTTGTTGCACATTTCTTGCTGTAGTTCTCCAAAAAACTTCTCAGCTATTGCATGTACAACATTTACTTAGGAGAAACGATGACTAAACACACCCCCATTTAAATTTAAAAAGAGAATTAAAACCATGTATCATCATTTTTAATCCACTTCAAATGTGTGCAACACTTATCAATCTATCACGTAACATCTCCATAAAATAAACAGCAGTTTATGGTTATAATCTTCTAACCTTTGAAAAACTGTAAAATAATCAAATATTTTGTGAGGTACTGAAATGAATAAATGATCCGAGATTAAAGAATGTTGGTTTTTTTCTTATGTCTGAGAGTAAAAGTATGATAAAACAAAATGACAGAATAACAACAACATATATAATTCTGATACTGCAGCCCCTAACAGTAAAAATCCATATAGATAACATGTTATGAGTAAGTCTAAACCTAAATCACCATCATTTTCCTTCAGCAGTTTCCTGTTTATTGTGTCTCAGCACAGAGAGCAGCGTTCCCCGCCGTTTCTGCTCCCAGACTCTCACTTGTCTTGTTTTATAGCAGAACCAAGACTTGTCCTTGTGAACCCAAAGTAGTTAAAGCAAACGACGGGACGCTGACAGATCACTGTGAAATCAAGGGTTAACGGTGTGAGGGGTTGTTGCTCCACTCAAACTTAAAAGACCTGCTCTGCTTTGTGGCCTTGCGTTCAGCATTTACCCTGTGCTGTGAAAAATGGGATCAATTAAAGCAGAGACAGGTTAGAGATGACTTACTGCTCAGCTGAACCACTTGTTACGTGAACCATAGATGGAGGGAAAAAAGCCTAGAACAGGAAAGCGTGTCCTTTGTTTGGAAATAAATTACCTGGGTTCATCGGGTGTGCTTTGAGAGCTGACAGGGATGGAAATATTTCACTCTGGGCGCGGCGGTTGTATTATTTCCTATGTGGCAACTATTTTTAACAAACATATGAATCAGAAATATGTCACCTGGAAATAATTCTGAGCAAACAAACAGCTGCAAGCCGGATCCCTGTCACGACATCTAATGACATGTAATATGGAAAGGCAGACAGAGTGACTGCTGCTGGGGTTTGTACAAGGCAACAACCACTAATGGAGGCTGCTAATGCTGGAGGTGAAGGTTTGGGCGCACTGAGTGCAATTTGTATGGGTAAAAATAACCATGTCAAGGAATTTTAAGCTTTTATTAGCTGGTAGATTTGCGATGTATCAAGATACGGTTCTCATTTCCAAGATCATTCCCTCATCACTGAGATAAGTACCTCATTGAGATTTTAATGTCCCTTTAGCCACTGTTTGTATAGATTTAGCAACAATAGCCACATCTCCAGGCATGTCTGGTGGACTTTGCTTGTTTTGACTCCACAGTCGCTAGGTAAGTCTCATAACATGATTATTGGGATATAGACTTGACAGAAAAATTACTACTTTCTTGCTCCAATCAGGGTTTGTTTCCATGATAACAGGATGATCTAGTCTGCTATTTGGATCCGGGAAAATGCAAGCTGATGAGATAATGACATCAAAAAAAGACGTCAGATACTTTTTGGGCTTATTCCCTGTTTATTGTCCATAACCATGTGATCTGTTAAGAATGTTTCCCTGCATTACAGCCAGAATATGCCGGAATCCGCTTCATGGCTGTGCACTAATTTAAGCAGACACAGATTAAAGTAGGAGGAATAGACAAGCAGCACTAATCAATCCATCCATGTTGGTTTCACTGAATTCTTCACATGTCTGAAATGCATGATTTTTCTGGTTTTACTGTTGCTGCCTTGAGGTCGATATATTTAAAAGTTGACCAAAACAAATTAAATTATATTTCCAAATGCAATAAAAAAGTCATCTTTTTGTCCCTCAGGAACACATGATCCTCTGCCGCTTTGCTGATCAAACCGCAGTCCAGCTACCAGCTGAGAGGCGTCTCATTGGTACCGTTCATAATCTCTTCATTAAAAAATCTATATGTTTAATGCAAACATTTTGTACTAATGTACGTCCATTTATATTTTATACTATTTTCTTTTTTTTATTTATTTATGAGCTGTGAATTACTTTTGCTCCCATTTCCTGAATTTTCTTGGACATTTACTTTCAAGATACCCAACAGGTGGTTTGTTTAAATCATCTTAAACTCACATTTTTTTCCCGTTTGATCCAATAGATATTTTTTCTGCCTCTCTTCTCATTTGGAATTGATTCATAAACTTCATCAAAAGTTTTCTTTCTTTCGCAGGGTCTTAAAACAGTTTCCACCCAGAAACACATTCTGACTCATGTGCCTCTTTACAGAGAACTGTGTTTATTAACTTAAGGTTCCCCTGTTCAAGTTAATCCTTTGCCGTTGTTAAAGCTTCATTAATTCAAAAAAGCTTTCCTAGAGTTTGTCATTCTGAGGCCTTTTTATTGTATTGAGCACCACCTCTCACGTCTATCTCATCTTTTTTATCAAAATTCACTCTTTGACCATTAAGGCAACATGACACCGAACAGTGTCTACTGAAGGTGAAAAATAAATAAATAAGCACATTGCACAATTTAAGTTAAATAAACATTAGATGTCCTAAAGACTAGAGGTCTGACTTATCAAGCTTATGCCACTTTTCATGCAGAGGTTGTGATCTATGAAAAACAGACTAGCCGTTGAAATATTCCAGCCCTTTACGCCAATTTTGATCCATGTGCCGTGTGCACATTTTGGAGGAAAGCGGAAATCAGTTAGTCACTTAGTAAGGTGAAGAATTGAAGCCAGATTAAGTTCGCTCAGATGGTTAATTTCCCATAATATCAAATATTAATCCTTGGTTGATTTAATCATAAGTATCAAATGGTGCAGTGTAATTTGTGCTTGCACTGCTCAACCATAGCTATACATGAGGACCTGTCAAATAAATAAACAAGGCCTAAGAGCAGCTCAAATCCTTCATCAGAGCTCATGTAGTATTTAAATGATTTCTTAACCTCATATCTCTCCCTAATGATTAACAGGGTGAGACGTGCCACGGATCAATACCTCAATGTCACAAGGTGTAAACATTCAAATACTGATGTGCAGCCCCCGTGCAATTATGCAATGGATGCTATGCTGCAGGGTGTTGAAAAAGGGAGAAGGGGGGGAGGTTATGACTGCCGATAAGAAAATGTTAGTATTTAGTAAATTTTTGTATTTATATATGGATTATATATATCATACTATATATAAATTATATAGTATGATATAGAGGAAAACAGATTTGTTTTTATCCCCCCCCAGAAATATAACTTTCTGAATGAAGTTATATTTCAATTATTTTATTCAAGTAAGGAAACAATTCCTCAATTTACAGTAATAGTGACAATGCTGTAAATGCATTGTACAAGCTTTTTTTTTTTTTTCTTTTAGGTTACTTAAGTAAATGTAATTCGTTTCCACCTTCTTCTGATTAGAGCGGTTCCTAGCAACCTGCTGTACCAGTGCAAATTCCCCCACAGGTGATAAACATAATCACTACTGTGGCTACCAAACACATTTATTCGTCTCTCCACCTCAATAACCAACACATCTATTTCTGCCTCCTTTAAACTGTGTTTATTCAGGTCCATGCAGTGCTTTGCAGGGACCATTTATGGTAGAATATGTGCAGAGGGCCGAACTTGAGGTGAACCTTTGTGCCTGTTAACTGTCCATTGTCCACCCATGGGTGCTAGAGGCTTAAGCCGCTATCAACCTACTGTGCTTGAAAGAAAAGAAAACGCAGTGTGTGATCAGAGGACTTTAACCCTATTAAGTAATAGTTAGAAACATCTTATTTTTTGGGCTAACATTTGACCAACAATCTTTTCAATACCTTAATACTGCAGATAGGTAATGTAAAGGATTCCATGTCCCAATGAGCCTCTGGCTCTTCAGCAATCAACAGTTGGTTCCCAGTTCTAATTAAGGCTTATGAATGTGAGGTTTATTGGGTTCTAAAATACATTGGTGCCCTAGTGTGCCATTTTAGTTTTGTTTCATTGCTATCTTCATGATGGTAATAAAGTAAATGGTGCTCCACTGCAACATTCCCTGTGTGGTCTCACCTTAAGTTTCAGAGCAGCTGGCTGCACAGAAAAACTGTATCAAACTCAAAGTGTGCGGTATGTTATCTCTACTACCTTTAACAGTAGCATTGTGTGATTGTTTTTGGTTTTGCACCACTGCAGGGAAACACTGCATGGGCTTGGTGGACTTGGATCGAGCTTGGGCTGCAGAGACTCATGGGTACTCGGTGCAGGTGATGACTATGGAGCCTGAAAGCTGTTCACCAAAGAACAACATGTTGGTGGGAAGCCCGCCACAGAGGACCGCGGAGCCAGCTGGACACATGGATGCATAATGAGGGCTGTGAAATACTGCAGAGCTGAGCGTCTCCATAATCGATGAAAAGGCTGCTCAGTGTAACATGGCAGAGGCATTCCTATCAATTTTTTTATAGAGCCTTGGTTTTATAGAAAATGTCAAATTTAATAAACTCAAAGCAAAAAGGATGGATGTTTTTAATGCTGAGCTAGAGCTACTTTGTTCTCAGCTACATGTTGCCTTAAAAAGATAAAAGCTTTCCACCAATTACAGTATCGTCCTTGTGTCTTTGCTTACGCTCTGTAATCAAGCTGAAATTTATGCTCACAAAGTTAATTAAGCACTCCGTATATCCAGATTGCAGCCAAACTGTAAGAATTTTGATCAAGAACAATTCACCCCCACTGTTCGGCTTTGCTTTGTTATAAAAAAAAAAACTGAAAGACTGGAGAAAGAAACTTCAGATGTAGAAAACAGCTTTGAGTTCTTAATTCTTGAGATTGGATCAATGACTTTATGTGGAGAACCTGAATATTATATCTTAATGGCTGCTGTTTTTGTAGAACTATAAGCATTTTCTGACTGATTAATATTCTTATTTTATACCTAAAAACTCTATAAAATGTTGGATTTTATATAATATACATTTGGACAAGATATTGGTGTTTCTCTTTACAAACCCCTCGATATTTATTAATGATATCAGATATATCTTAAAGGTTGATGTGTTTTCTTAGGTGCATATTTCACTGGAACTTAAATTACACAAGAAGTGCATCAACTGCATGCAAACTTGTTTGTTTCTGCAGGTCCTATCTTCATAGAAGGTGCTTGCCAACAGTTTGTGTGTGCCAAGTCAACAGACAGTTGTGGGAATCCATGATTATATATAGATCATGTTCTAATAACCAAACCACAGAAATTTAAGGGTGGATGATAAAATACTTCTACTACCAGCATAATGATTTAACAAACCTAAAAGTGATTGTGGCCTTAGTTTATGCATTTATTTTTCGGATTTGAAAGTCCGGTGCAAACCCAAACAAATTTTGAAAGTAGGGCTGGGCAATTAATTGCATTTGCAATCTAATTGCAATTCAACAAAACACAATTTTCAAATCATAGAGGCAATGGTTTTTAATAACACTATATTTAACAAGTACTATATTTAACAATACAGAAACTTTGAGATTTGCAGATAGGGTCTCTGATGATGTGAAGCTACAGTATGGTGTCAGAGATGCCTCTTCAATATCATATAGCAAACTAGGATAGTGATGCTTGACTGGCCGACCCAATGGTGTGTTCCAACTACAGGGAGGTCAGCCATCCTGGGAAGGCCTATGACAAGGAGCTGCAAAAGAGGGTTTGGCAAATTGCTGAACCTCAACTTCAGCATGAGTAGTTGGTTAAGAAATACTAGACCAGCTCTAAACTTTGCAGGGTGCTGAGTGGTTCATTGGAGATAGGGATCTCCTCCACATTAAAAGGAGTTAGCTGATATGGCTTGGCCATTGATTTCTGATGACCACCCCCCCCCACCCACCCCCAATTACATCATCAGGAGGTATTCCAGGCCCATATCCTCATTAAAAAAGGCCCAGGGGACAACCCAGGATATGCTGGAGGGACCTTGTCTTTGACCTTGGAATCCCTCAGTCTCCCAGAAGAGATGAATGAGGGGATGGAAGTCTAGGCATCTCTGCTGAGACTATTGGCCTTGTGACCCAGGCTTGGATAAAGCGGAATACATGGATTAGAACATTGTGTAAAGGAAAACGGAAGCCAACGCTAGATGCAGATGGCTGTCTAAGACAGCAGCTGTTTTCTAACAGTTTGTTACCAACCATACTACTTTTTCATTTTACTTATACCACTGTGTTGCAAATGGTCAGATGTTCTATATTTTGTAAAATCAGCTTTCCCATTTGGCAGTAGTTGACAACAATCTAAGATACATGTAAAGATTCCTGCTAAAAGTTGTATTTTGATAAGATGTTAACTTTTT